TTGTACATAAATACTAAAAACATTCAAGATGACAGCAGGGGTCAATCATCCCACAAGCCACCTCCACTGGTACAAGCCCCCATCTGGCCCCCAGGCCTTCTGGTACAGCCAGGATTTCATCCCTTTCCTGAAGGCCATGAGGCTTATGTCTTCATGTTTTACCACATGTACTTCTGAAGTACCCCACTCACACAACATTAAACTTTTATATTTCTTTCAATGTACCCTACTCTCACTTCAGCAAAGTGGGCAGAAACTCTCTTACACAAACCTGTGTTTAATTCTTTTGGCAAACGTTCATTCCTCAAAGTTGGCCACATACTGCCTATTACTTTTCTGCAAGCATTTGCCCAATTTAAAATTTCTCCATCCATTTTCCCATTTATAGTAAACGTCTCGCCAAATACATAAAGGTACTTACTTGTTCTAATTCTTCATCATTTATTTACAACTTGCAGTTTATTCCTTTTTGTCTGTCAACCAATACTATCTTCGTCTTTGATACACTGATTTTCAAATTCATACTTCTCTTTGTATCTTACAATCTATTTAATATGTAATGCAAATCATTTGGATTCTTCACCAGCAACACAGCATCATCTATATATAGAAGTACAAGTACAGTACATTTACACACTCCAAACAACACAACCCTAATGTCACGCAAGCATTCATTTATAGATGCACTATTAATATAGTAAACAACCAAGAGAACCTCACAGTCCTTGTCTTATGCCCTACTCTGTGTTGAATAATTTGCTAAACATTCCAATCTCACACATGCTTTACTTCCATCATACCCCATTCTTAATACATTTGACAACCAAACTTCAAATCCGTATTCATATAGAACACTCCTTGTGTCAATCCTATTAATTATATCACACACTTTTTCAACAAACATTCAACTAAAGTAATGTTAGCCATATATTTTGTATACCTCCTGCCCAGCATAAAATTCCATTGCATTTTACAAAATGTACTAATTGTCACTTCTTGTAAGGTATACAAATACCTGCCCAAGCACATTGATTCCCCTGTAGTTTTAGCATTCTTGCTATCTTTCCATTTGTACAGTATAAGGGAACTATAACATCATTAACATCATTCTTCAGTCAGTGGGCATAGATGCAATCTGCACATGTGTTGAACAAGTCACACTGCCATTTTATAAGCAAGCCATATCTTAACCTTTTTTCCAGCTATATCATCACACTTGCAGTTTCACCACTTTTCCACATTCTTAGAGCATTACTGACTTCCTTTGTTCAGCTTCAGCTGGTACACCAGTTGTGCTCTTTTTCAGAGTAGGTGACCTTAATGACAATCACTCAAGCCTTCATTACCTTGAAACTAGATTACTGCAATGTGTTTCAAGGGACTGGGCTTGAAGATTACCTAAAAACTGCAGATGGTACAGAATGAAGCCGCCTGCATGCTGGCAAATGCAGCTCGAATACTGGAGGCACTTAACTGGTTACTAGTAGGTTTCTAAATGCACTAAAAATGCTGAAATGACCTATAAAAGCATAAATGGCTTGGTTCCGTGCTACTTTTGGGATCATCTTTTCCAAACAAAATCTGCCCATCTGGTCTGAACTATTGAGGGGATGTTCCAAGTTCCTCTCTCTTGGAAGTTAAGGAGGTGGAAGCTGAGAAGTAGAGGGGTTTGGTAGTGGCCGCACACCATTGGAATAATCTAAACCCAGAGGTAGGGCATTTGCATGTGGGGGTCAAAGCAATTGGATGGTGGTTGTGACTATGTAATCAAAGCCTGCCCTTGTTTAACATGTGTCAGTGCATATTAAAAAGAGGCGGGCCTTCAGTCACAACCACGATCTTGACTACTTAACTACCCCCCTCAATCCCACAGATGCCCCTGCCCAAAAAGTCCCAGATGTCTTCTACACTGTTAACATTCAGGAAAGCCACAAAGACTGGACTTGCGGTGAGCAATTAAAGATTGACTAATTCCCAGCATGCAATCAGTTTTAGTGTTTTCTTGATGTTTTAAATTATAAGGTGGTATTTATTGTTGGGTGTTCTATTTTGTATGAATTTCCCAGAGTTTGTTATATGGGTGGGATATAAAATAAGCACATAACATTTCATTTTACACACAATAAACACATAACATTTCATTTTACACACACATGCACACACACACACACACACCCCTTGCATATTCTCTAGGATCTCAAGGAACTTTGAGCTAGGTTAGCCCAAGAGGAGGTAATTGGCCCAAATACACCACGTGAGCTTCAGGGCTAAGTGAACACTTGAATTTTGGTCTTCCTGGTCTTAAACCCACACATTATTTTGAACAATTTTAAAACACCAGCATGGCATAGTCTTAACCTACCTCACAAGGCTCTTGTGGGGATAAAATGAAGGATGCAAGCTCCCTTGATCTCTTGAAGAAAAGGTAGGAATAATAGCAGCAACAACAACAATTTCCAGGTTGTACTGTCATTAAAGTTCACTTGCAGATCTCTCTGTGCAAGAGGTTTATTAATGTGAAACATATCTCATAATCTGAAAACATTTCTATCTACCCAGCCTTTCTGTTGCACATTTAGAAAGCTGGGTGTTTTAAAGAAAAACCAAAAAGGGGAAAAGGGAGGAACTATACATTTCATTCACAGCTGCCACACCATTAAGACATACCTTCCAAAAAAATTCAGTTTTATAAAATGGGTTGTTAATCTCTTATTAATGAGCAATATATTATTATGGAGGCAATAGCTTGCTGACCAGTCTTCAAATCTACTGTCATACTTTTGATCCAGGTGTTTTAATTTTGTACTTTGATAGCAGTTACTGTATTTGTATTTTAATGGGGTTGTGCAAGTCCTTTAAAGGAGGTTCTTTGCAGCATGTGAGAGCATGCATGAAGCATTTCTCTTCAACTGGTGAAAACAGAGGAATGATAGGAGATGGTAAGAAATGTTAAGGTAAAAAGGGCCGTGCTTTTCAGTTGCTTTCACAAGCTGTCAGTGCTTAGCAGTTACATTTTCCAACGGAGCATGCCCAGGACAGATTGTCTCTGCAGAGTATTCTGGGCTCACCACTGTCACATGTGTAGAGCAATTAATACTAGACGTACTTTGGGAGAAATTAAAAATGCTGAAGTGACCTATGCAAAATAACACAAGGTGCTTGGGGCAGAACCTAATTATTTTTTACGAGGAGAAGCACCAAGCAAATGTATATGTGGAATCACAGATTTGGGTTTGATCCCCAGAAATGGGGCATGATCAGAAATTCCTCTATGGGAGAAAGAGATGTTAAGAATTAATTTATGAGAGGCTAGAAAAAATGACAAATTGTAGAGTATGCTTTAAACCTCGCAGATAAAATGTGTTTTTCTAGCAGCCTGTGTTAAATTCTTCAACACAGCCCACTTAGCATTTATTCAGTGGGGCCTCATGCTGCTGAGGTAGGCTCAAGGTGCTTGCCATGGGACGCAAGAAACATGAAATCGCACCAGGTGAACATTCTAGGAGTTGGCCCACTGCATGACCATCCCTTCCTGTGGTCCTGTCTTAGCCTCCACTTGTACATAGCTCCTCTTTTTTGCCCTTTTTTGTCCTTTTCAGGTTCGGTTAGGTGAACTGCTTTAGTATGGACCATATGCCACTTCAGGTTCCAAAGCTTCATCTGCTGACGGTTCAGTGCTTGATAATTTTGCCATTATCATTAACAGTTTCATGTCAGATGATTGAAGTGCAGTGTGTAGATTGCTTCAGAATTAATTAGCAAGCGTCTTGGGGGGCAGTCAAGGGAAGACAAATGATGAAAGCAACATGATGCCATTGCACCACAAGCTCCACCCCTTTTGTACGTGCACTGTGACACACGCCAGTACAGAAAGGCAGAACTTGTAGCAAAACTACAGTAATGTTGTCTTCATCATTTTGACAGAAGCATTGGCCAACAGACTCCTTAATTTTGCCTTCTGGGAGATCTCCCTTGCTTTTTGTTCAGTTCCTTCAGGCTGCATGAAACTGAGCTCAATGGGTGGCCTTTAGAGGCAAAATAAGCTAGAAAATGTCTTCTTCTTTTTTTTTCATTTCTCCTTCAGAGAAATGTCATGAAATACTTGTGTTTATTATTACTATTATTATATAGGCTTTGAGATGCTTTATATTTCAGTAGACAGAAGAGCAAAAGAGGTAGGCAGCCTTCTGCTTCTCCTTAGTCCAGTGTTTCTCAACCTCAGGAACTTTAAGATGTGTGGACTTCAACTCCCAGCATTCCCCCGGCCAGCATGCTGGCCGAGGGAATTCTGGGAGTTGAAATCCACACATCTTAAAGCTGCGGAGGTTGAGAAACACTGCCTTAGTCCCATACTCTCACCACCGCAAGCCAAGCTTACCACTGCAGCTGGACTATCGCAGATGCCCTGTTCTTTTCTATAAGAGACAATGCTGTGGCCGCACAGATATAAGCCCTCCTATTTTAAAACAGCCAGAAAAGCAGTGCCACTGTTGCTGGTCTGTATCTTTCTCCTAAAAGGAGCATGTCCAGGACATACCACTCAATCGGTTTGTTTTAAAGAACATAGGAAAACAACAACAAAAACATTCAACAGAAAGCAGATGTACTTCTCCCCTACTGACTCTTGGGGACAAATTGCATCATCTTGCGTTTAAATTTTCTAGTATATTTCATAAATAAGAGGCCCTCTTTGTTCCAGTTACCAATTATTAATCCTTAACCATTCACTTTAGATGATATCTTTGATGAGATGACAAGAAAAGAACTTTGCACAGACACTTTCTGTAAAGTTTGTGGGGCTGTGCTGCAGTTTGAATCACAACGAATAGCACACTATGAGGTAAGCTTTAATGCGGAACATGTCAGCAAGATTTCGTGACCCCATATTTCCCCAAATATGGAGGATTATCTCTTTACTTATTAAGTTACTTGCTTAAGCAGGTCAGGCGTTCATAAAAGAAACATAACTGTATCCATTGAAGAACTGTGACTACCTGTTAAACAAAAAGCAACTGACAGTCATCTCATCACTTGACAGACCTGATCTAATATAAGATACCTCATCAAGGTGGCCTTTGCTTTAAAAGTCTTCAACTAATCTGGAATACTTTTTAATGCAACACATAACAAAAGTTTTGGTTTGGTTTGGTTTAACTTATGTAATATTTATCCCCTTATTTTGGCCAGTGGCCCCAGCAGAATAAAAGCCATAAAGTTCTAACCAGTTGTTAGATACCATATGGAACTAGCCTCTGGAGCATCCCCTCTCTCTCTAAGGTTTACCAGTTGAGGCCTAAGTATCGTCTGAAAAACCGGAGCAGTAAGCAGATCTGCTTATTGTATTTTTTTAATTCAAAAATTGATATCCCTCTCTTCTGCTAACACTCAGTGCTGAGGCTGGTTTATACAATTGAAAATCAGTAAAAGTTCATCATCCAACAGGAAGACTAACAGGTGGAGCAGATAAAACCCATCTGAGAATATAGGTGCTGAGCACAAAATAATCCTCAACTTGGCATGTCAAATGAAGTGCCATGTGGCCCTCCGTTATAAACTGACAAGTAGTTTTGTAATTAGAAACTCAGTATAATATGCTGCCATAGCTATTCATCTTTTAATAGCCTCCACTACAGCGCACGGCAGTCACCCAGTCTGGATGTAAATAACCGGGTACTGAAAGTTCAGTTTAAAGTCTCTGCTCCTAGCTGATGTGTGTCTTTATACAGTAGTTTTTACATGTTTTCAGAGGTTAAATTCCAGTCTGATATAAAATTGACACTTTTGCTTTTCAGGGCAAAAGGCACGCACAGAAAGTCCGACTTTATTTACAAATGCATAATGAACGAAAGGACAGGCTGCATATGAATTTCCAGGTAAAGTTATCCCATCTGCATCAACAGGACTATTGTATATGGGATGGGGAATTTGTGGCCTGCAGCTTAATTTTATTTGACCCATGGCATTATCTGAGGCTGTGTCATGACAGAGAGGAAGATAAGAGTCCCTCACATAGAACTGGAAATCATGTTCAAGTTTGCCCTAACCTCTGGCTCCATTTACTGCAGCCCCAACTGAGTTTTCTCATGGGTCAACAGATGTTCCTAAGATGAAGTTAGTTAATGGTTTAAAAGAAAAGAAAGTACTATCATTTTCTCATCTAGAACATGTTTTTTAATTCCATACTACAGCCAGCCATTCTTTGTCTCCCAAACATCATGAGTGTGAGAGAAAAAGTATTGATGACCAAGGTAAACCTGTCTGTTGCCAATGGAATTACTACCTAATGAAGTGATGGGCCTTCTTTGTTGGGTGTTTTCAAGTGAGGCTGGAAAGCCAAATTATCCACAAATGCTTTATTTTAGATTCTTGCCCTGAGCAGGGTATGATATCCTAAAAGTTCAGTCCAAAATCTGTGATTGTAATAAATTAAATAACTTTTCACTTTGATTTCAGGAGAATCCAAACATGGACAAAAATACATATTGCAGACTTTGCAACATGATCTTCACATCTCCAGTTGTTGCTCAATCACACTATTTGGGAAAGATCCATGCCAAGAAAGTGAAGCAGTTGTCAGATCAGACTCAGCCCATACAGGATGTTCAGTCAGAACCTGGTAAAGATCTGGTAGTTAATGCATTCTCTTTTTTTGTGTCAGGTTTTTTAGTAAGATGGTGAAACATGGATTGTTTTAATCAGAGAACCAGTGCGGCTGAAGAACAAATCACATTAAGTTTCCTTATTTTGTTAGTCTCTTTGATATTTCTCTTTTTTCTTTTCCCCTTGTAATTTCATACAGTGCAGAGAGGAAGAAAAAAAATCAGTAACTTGCCTTGCTAACCAGCCAATAGGAGATGCTATTCAGAGTATGTTTGCCAGCCAAGAAATTAGACGCACATAAAAAGATGGCTATATTTTCTCAAGGGCAGTCCAATGGCTTCGTAAGGAGTCCACTTCCAATTTTGACAAGTTGGATACTTTTTGTTCCTAGTTGTTCCCCATGAGGAGACTAATCTTTCTGCATGGCCCTTTCTCGCAGATTCCTCTGCAATTCCAGTTCTGCCAGAGGCATCTCTTGAAAAGAACTCACAACAGGATGTCGATTCTGAGGACTCATCTTCATCCTGTAGAACTGCTCTGGATTTAGATGATCCAGATAAGTATTGCAAACTCTGCTCCGCAACCTTCAACAACCCACTTATGGCCCATCAACACTATGTGGGCAAAAAGCACAAAAGAAATGAATTACGTAAGAAGTTGATGGCTGAGATAGGAACTCAGGCTATCCCTGTGGAGTCCAAGGCCAACGGTAAGCAAGCAGCATCAAAATAAATATTCCACTTTATATCAAGTGAGCATGGCTCAGAACCAAAGTATACCATCAACATTTTCCTTTCATGTGCTGGCTGTTGTTGGACAGTGTCCCTTCAGACTATAGCGGGGTGGGAGAATTCCTTGCTTGCTTTGAATGTTTCGCTGTACTTTTTCTTAAAATCCAGTATGTCATTCCCCACCTGCAGTCAGAAGTAGTATTTTCTATTGCAGTAAAAGGTTGATCATGACAGGGTGTTTGCTGTACTTATTTGTTATTTTATGTTGAAGCTATCAGATAATGTGTAGATTTTTTTTCAACCACAATTTAACCATTACAACAATTTTGATTTGCTTTGAGCATGCATTGTATTATAGATTGCATAAAGCTATATAAAACTTCTTTGCTGGAACTGTCTGCAGTAGCTGGCAAAGAAGAACTGCACAAAGATTTCACACAAGATGTTTGTTGTTTGGGAGAAGGGGCATCATTTTTACTTCAAGTTCTTTAACCTGTAGCTCTTTTTCTTGTAGCACTCGGTGTGGGCAACTACATATGCCCGACGTGCAGTATCAGCCTCACATCCATAGAGATGTATCAGTCACACATGCAAGGAAATAAGCATCAGGTTAAGTAAGTGTTTTCCTGCCCATCCATCAGTGGTTGAGGAGCTGTGCTGAGAGTTCAGGAATGGCATGTGTGTGGATACTGTGCAAAAAAATTGATGGTTAGACTCTCAGAGAGAGAATATGAACAAAGTTCACTGCAGACCTTCCTAGAAGGCAAGTAATGTTCCTCTCTCTTCACTTGAGATGAGGTTTCCTCTTTCCCTTGAAGGCTGGAGCAACTGCTTTTCTGCCTAGTTCTCTTCAGACTTTTCCCGTAGCACTAACATTAGGAAAAATGTTCTCTAAGGAATTTTTTTCTTTCCATGCTTTTTAACAGGTAACTCAGGTGAAAAATCTCTGGCCCTCTAAATATTTTGGAATAAAACTCTATCATTAACCATGATGGAGTGCAATAATATCTGGAGGCTTACAGAGCACATGCACTCCCCTCCCTCCTGATTTAAGTACTATTATAGCTGATACTCAGACCTTCAGTCAGGCTACCCTCCCGACTCTGGTGCAGTAAGTATCTTTCATGATGTACTGGTTTGTGGGACAAAACAACCAGCTTGGCTTACAGTTGCCCAAAATAATAAGCAGTACAAGAAATTATAAGAGTCAAAGGCAACAGGAGAAGTAATTGTCCAAGAGTCCATTGGAGTTGAGCAGCTAATAAATTCAAATAAATAAATGCTGGAGGAGTGCGTGTGTGTATAGATTTATCTACATACCCTTTGCCTGGCACACAAAAGACACAAATGCAAGCAAGCAAGTCTGCCATAGTCAGGTATCTTAGTTATTTCTAGATGTTCTGCAAAGATAAAGGTTTATTTTCACATGTTTAAATTAAGCTATACATGATCAGACCTGGTTAGTATTTAGGGAGGGAGACCATCAGGAAATCTTAGTTGTAAGCTGGACTGTGAAGTTGAAAAAATGTCCTGGAAGAAGGCAATGACAAACTGTTATTATTGCCAGGAAAACCACATCCTATATACATGTCCATGAAGTCACCAGAAGTTGATCTCTATTCAAGGAAGTCTTTGTTTTACACATAAGAATACATGCTAGGGTGGCCTTTCCCAATTTTCTGTCCTCTAGGTATGCTGGTAAATAACTGCCAAAATTTCCATCCAGTATGTAATGCAGCATATCTGGAGGGCACCAAATTGGGGAGAAGTAAAGGAGTAAGTCCTATTGATTTTATAGGATTGTACTATGTGAGTCTCAGGAGTGGGACTAATAATACTAAGGTAGCATTGAAGCCATTGAGACATTCTCGTCATTCTTTCTTTATGTGTTATTTGCTTTAGAGAAACTATGATTGCCACCTCTCTGATGAAGAACTCCAAGAAAACATATAGTTCCTTCCAAGATGAACTGGCAGATTACATTAAAGTACAAAAGGCAAGAGGACTGGAACCAAAAATTAATTTTAGAAAGCCAGAGAAAGAAAGGTGTGAAGCCATAAATGGTCATGAGGAAATCTTTGCATCTGACCGAGATTTTCATTCAAGGAATGTTTATGAACCACATCAGCATTCCATTTTTTTTCCAGAAGTGTGCGCATTTTCATATTCTGTGGAAAACAGATTGTCACACCCACCAGTGCGTAAGGGCCCAGTAAAGCTAGAAAATGTATGTATGGCTCTGTACAGCACAGACTGTAGTTCTGAAAAGCAAGTGTCTCAGTTGACTCCCTACAAAGATGATAGCCGCAAACCATCGTTGGTGGAATCTAGTGATGGCCATAAGGATTTGTCTTTAGAGAACAGCTCTAGTGCTGAGAAGAGAAGCCAAAAGCTGCCAAAGACATCCAGAGCCAAAAAAGAATGGCCACAAGAGGGAGGAGGAGACCCTTGCCAACATCTTTTAACTCTTAAAAGAAAACAGTGCAATCGTGATGCTGAGTTGGAAAAAGACGGTAAGAAGAAAAAGGAAAAAAGTGGTATAGATGCAAGAGCTGGGTCAAAATCAAAGCGTAATAAAGTAAAAGGAAGTAAAGATGGCTCTTCTGAAAAGGAGAGCAAAAGACACAAGAAGGAGAAAACGAAGTATGAAGCCAGTGGAGCAACAGAAGAGGAGATGCTGTGGAATGAATCTGTCTTGGGATTTTAATTAACTTGGTGTTTCTTGTAGCCTGAACCATGGCATAGTTTTTATGTTTTACTTACTGGCTATTTTTTAAATTGCTCCTTCAGAAATAATGGGTGATGGGGTTTATGATCATTAGGGAAGAAATTCAGAAACACTCCAATATGCTTTGAAATATGATTTATATTCAAAAGTGCTTCTACCCAGAACAAGACTGAACACACTATAAAATATTATGAAATATGCTTCCAACATTTCAAAGCTGGTGCAGACAAACACATAATGTCTCTAGTCCCATTATATATGTATTGTTGTAAACTTTAACAGAGAATATGGAAATATGAGAGGGGGCTGGATTGTATCCTAAGGAATGTTTTTTTCTTCCTGCAGATAATAAAGAACAAAGTTAAACACACAAGAGAGATTTTGTTTAACGTTTTTCCTCCATATCAGTCAAACTCAACCCTTTTTGAGAGAACATTGATGGAGTACTGCTATTCTAATTTATTTTACTTAATCCTAGGCAAATTGAGTTAACCATTGTTTTCAAAAATTATTACAGCAGGCTTTGTTTAAGACCAGAAGGAATATATAATTCCCAATAGCTTTTCTGAAACATTTTATGCATTCAAAGATTTTTAAGTATAGTTTAAAATGATTTTTTTTTTTTAAATGCCCCACACATTTTGTGTTTTTTTCCAGGGTTCAAATTCTTTTTCCACATTCACTGGCATTTTGTGAATTGAGGGATTATAAGAATGAGGCCTTGGAAGGTACTACCTTTGGAAGTGGGAAAACAGATTGAGCCCTTGTTTGAAACATGTTGGGCAGCCAAAATGAAATGTTTTCAAGGCAGTTTAGGTATAATCATTTATTCTTTTGCAGCAGCCATCTGCCTTCATTTCTGGTTTTCCCTTAGTGTAATATGAGGTGTAAAGTCATGTGCCCGTAAAGTTATGGAAAATTTTAGTTCAAACACAAATCATCTTGCACATCATGTAAACAACAACAATGGTGTCTCATCTGATCAATCGCTTCCATTGCTTTTGGAGAGGAACTGGAGAATAGTCAGCAAATTTAGAACTCTCTCATCAATAAGAGCAATAATACTATTATATGGGAACACACATTACTTAGTGGGCTTTTCCATACAGCCATGTTCAAGTGCTTTCCTCCAGTCTTAACCCTTGAAGTGGCAGGAAAATATGCACTGAATTGCACCTGCACTGAATTGATATAAAACCCTTAGAACCTTGCCAATTCTGGCTCAACCACTAACTGCCAATATATGTAGCATGAATGGGAATTTGTAAAGTATTTATGTCTTTAAATGAAGGGAGATGGGGAGATAAGCGGAGGCAAGAGGAGAGCACAACATTGTTTAAAGGATGAACAGAATTTTGCCAGCTTAAAAAGCAGCAGGTAAGCAAAAAGCAATGGCAGGTAAAGGGCCTGGGGGAGTATTCCCAAGTTTTGGAAAAACACCTTTAGAAGGCTCTGCTCTTGACAAGATGTCATAGAAGTGGGGAGGTGGTGAAAAGAACACCAAATTTAGGTCCAGGTGGAATTGTTTGGATTTTGCTTAATTTTAAGGAGATGGCTTCAATGTATTTCTCATAATTTATTAATTTTGTGAGTCATTTGGAGGGCTTTAAATAAGAGACACAACGTGAGTTATTGAATTGTTAGGAAATGCTTCCCTCACCTCTGATATTTGGTCTATGAATAAATTCAGATGGTCACCACTACCTCTTATCAACAGTAAGCTAATTTATTACTAATCTTGTGCATGATTTTATTTAGAATTAAGTTGCTAACTTCAGTAGGACTTCAAGTCAGATGGAAGATAAACTGGTGATTCTAAAAAGGAAAAAGAAAAATATCTAAGAATGACACCTTTCCCAAACTGATTCAACATTAACAGCTGTATAATTCTGGTTGTAGTCTAAACACATCTGGAAAGTTGAGGTAAATAGTTTTAAAGCAGCCAGGGGGAGAACCTCCCTGTCATGCATTCAGCAGAAGTTATAGTGATTTGGGAGAAGAAAATTAACCCAAGATGGTCAAATTTGGTGAGGATGATATACACCTTGGCTACATCCTGTTTGGACCATTACAGTGTACTCTCTGCCAGGAACACTTGGAAAATGTGCAGAAGTTGCATGTAAATGTGTCAGCTGGACCATTATCCAGTGTAAAGTATGTGGATTCTATGATGCATGTACAAAAAATCTACATTGATTGCCAGTACAGCTTGGATATGCTCACGAACCAGATTGAGAGGGCCCGTCTTCATGATTCAGGCTTTGTTATGTCCCAACTCATCATGGAGGTAGCCTACATTGGTCATTATTTATTCCAGTTTTAAAATCCATTTTCCATGTTCTCTCAACTTGTCTTAGCACACACATTACCTTTCATACATCATGGAGATAATATGGCCAGGGACTCATATCTGCTGAGCTCCTACTGGCTGCTGCAGGAATGCACTCCCCCCATCAGGTCACTGGGTACTACCCTCTGTGGCCATTTTGGGCTGCAGGGGAAACCAGAAACCTGGTTTTGGCAGGGGTATCTGTCACTTGTTGATTAGGTGAGTTAAATATTGTAAGAAATAAAATCGTTCCATCCTTAAAATGAAGAGAAGGCTTGCAGAATCAATTTCTGTAAGAGTTTTGTTTTGACGATCCCAAGGGTTTCCAAGGACGTACTCTGTCCCATAATAAAATGGTTTTACTAAAGAAACATGCACCTCCCACTTGTGCTACTGTGTGCTCTGAGTAGGAGAATCATCTGCACCAAGAGGACTGACAGATTAGAAGTAGTAATGATCAGACATGGCATAAACCAACAGCTGGTGGAGACTGCAAAGTGCTTTTTTAAAACAAAAAATGAGCAGAGCAAATATGATTTCGCCTCCTGCTGCTACTGTCTCCCAATGTAGTAGAAAGTACCAAGTCACTGTATTGACTGGCCAACTGGCTTATTGCTTCATGCCTGGATTTGAAGGTAGTGACCCTAATATTTCTTAATATACAAACTGGATAGATAAGAGGGTAGGTCCTCTTGTTCAAGCACAAAGAACAAGAGCTGACTTTTTCCACTGACAGTTTACGAAGCTTGCGGTGGTGAGGCATGAAATCTAGCATAGCACCACCTGGGTATTGTTAGATGGGGCTCTGCTGCCTTTCTCAACCTTGGTGGGGTTTTACAGTCCCACTAACCAAGCTTGAGGTTTCCTGTTATTTTGCAAACGTCCTGCCTTTCTTTTACAGCCTCTTCTCATCAGTATTATAAAGAACGCCTTGGGGACATTGAAAAAGAATTCCATTCCCAGTCATAACCTCAATAGCTTTGGGGAGAGGTTGATAAGAATACTATTACTAACAACAATAACAACAACTGCTAATTAAAGTCTTGTAGACCTTTCTGCATGAAGGTAATTCTGAAAGGCATCCTTGGCTGGCCATTTGCCTCATTTTTCAGACTCTCTATTGGTTCCATTTCTTCCAAAAATAAAATCATAAGTACACCTATTCCAAAGCATAAATAGAGCCTTCTGATAAACCAATTGGTTTAGATACTAAAGGACTGTGGACCAAAATGTAATACCAGATCCAAGAATTGTATAGCAATTCTTACAGGTCAGAGTTCTTCAGTTTCAGGTTTCAGGATCTTTATCATGTTAGCATTATAGTATATCACCTCAAAACAAAAATTAAAACCTTTTGACTTTTCAAACTCAACAATTTACACATTTTCTATAAAAAATTCATGAGAAGTTTCTTTGGCCTCAGGGATTCCAACACATACAGAGCAGGTCTATCATCTATTTTGCAAAAACTATAACAAGCAGACTTATTCAGATGTCAGAACTTTGTCTCTTTACAAGGATTGTGGGCTGAAGATTTTCCAGATAAGATTTGCCAAACAAGATTGCCAGATTCTGTCTGTTTCTACTGGTACATGTATTCTTCCCCATCAAAGATTGTTCCATTAGTAGGAACAAAAGGCTTTTTATGAAGTCTTACATGTATATGCACACCCCGTTATGAGTTCAGAGTTAACTTGGAAATGATTAAACATTCATGGGCTCTTAGTACATATTGCTTTAAACACCTATAATAATTTTTAAAACCCCAGAATTATCATTTTAATAATGTTTTCAAAAGGGATACATAAACAGGGCAACATCAAAGATGTATGAACATTTCATTGTTTACAGTTGTCATATTGCTGTCCCAAGATCTGGTACACCTTATCCTGTCAGATAATTATTCTTTTTGGAAATTCCAAATTACATAAATTGGCGTTCTCCAGTGAGATGCTGATGCACCTGGGACAAGATCAGGCAACGGTAGCTCTTAAACAAAGATTTCTTGAGATAGAATTACAAACAGAATATACCAAGATGTCACTTGGAGCTCAACTGGGGCACAGTGAATTTCATTTTAAACCAGCATGACATCTGGCCCAGTTTACAAATAGCAAACTGTGAGGGGCCTTTACACTATTGCAGTTTGATATCAGCATTGTTAGAGGGTAGATATCACAAAATCCTCTATGCTGAAAGGCTCTGTCTCTGCAGAAATGGGAGCACTGAATTACAGAATGATATCCTGCTGTAATTGTAATTTTTACTGAGACACCCACAGTAGCCCATTCCCAGGTCAGACCAAATACAGTAATTCTAATTTATGGCCTATCAAAGCAACTGCCTATAGCAGTGTTGTCCAAACTTGGCCACTTTAAGATGCTGGCTGGGGAATTCTGGGAGTTGAAGTCCACTCCTCTTAAAGTGGCCAAGTTTGGACAACACTGGCCTATAGAAACTAAATGGAATCATGTGAAAGTGGTATCTGTATTTCTAGTGCTGGAAACCAACAGTGCCAAGGTACTGGATGCTTTCTTATCTGATTCATCAAAGTTAGTTCTTCCATGCTGCATAACCTTGGCACTGTTGGTTTCCAGCACTAGAAATACAGATACCACTTTCACATGATTCCATTTAGTTTCTATAGGCCAGTGTTGTCCAAACTTGGCCACTTTAAGATGCTGGCTGGGGAATTCTGGGAGTTGAAGTCCACTCATCTTAAAGTGGCCAAGTTTGGACAACACTGGCCTATAGAAACTAAATGGAATCATGTGAAAGTGGTATCTGTATTTCTAGTGCTGGAAACCAACAGTGCCAAGGTTCTGGTTGATCTTAGTAGAAAACAGAATGCTGAACTGGATGCTTTCTTATCTGATTCATCAAAGTTAGTTCTTCCATGCTGCATTCCTATGAATAGCATTTGTAAGTATTCTTCAAGCTTTCAGGATGATTCATATTGGAACGATTCATTGTTGAATGCTTTAGGACTCTGCCTTTCAATGCACTTTACCCCAAATGGACTGATTATGTACCGACAGCAG